TGGGCAGCAAGTATCATAATTTCCTCCTTTATATTGAAGGCCGAAGACTATACTTTCAGGGGTCATTTCTATAGTTTGTCATATATTGAAGGCCAATAACTGTCTTAAATCAAGGAGCAAGTCGTAATTTTATCAAATAAAACAAGAAGTCAGAATTTTTATGAAAAAATGATTCAGAGACAGATTTTCCTTTTCCCTTCCTTTTTAAAAAAAAAAAATATATATATATATTTAGGGAGAGAGATAGTTAGAAACATTGATGAGAGAGAGACATCGATCAGCCGCCTCCTGCACACCTCCCACTGGGGACGTGCCCGCAACCCAGGTACATGCCCCTGACCGGAATCGAACCTGGGACCTTTCAGTCCGCAGGCCTACGCTCTATCCACTGAGCCAAACTGGCTTCGGCTCCCCTTCCTTCCTTTAATAACGGAACACCTGATTTTTGGCGGGACACATTACCTCCTAGCTGAAGACTACATTTCCCAGCTTCCATTACAGCCAGGTATGACAAAGTTCTGGCAAATGGGATATCAGTGAAAATGTTATGTGCCTCCTCTGGGTCAGGCCTATAAAAAGAATGGGTGTGTTGCTCTGTTGAAGCACACTCCCACTGGCTGATGGTTGTGGATAAATTCATATGTTTTGTATAGTGTATTTATTGTGTTGTCGACCCTCCTACAAGCCATCCTGAACTTGACGGGAAGGTCGTGGCATTCTGATATAATAATGTAATAACTGTGCTTCATTTGGTCTTTTGAATGGAGGCTAATCATTTAGAAAACATGGACATACAATAATTTTATGCACTTAGGGATGAATGGTCTATATACTTTCTCAGATATGCCTCATATCTTCTTTATTTCACCACATCAACCAATGTTCATCACTTGTACCTATGGCTACTATGAAGATACATCAGGATTTTAATGAACTGCCACCATATTTTCCTGAAAGAGTAATTGGCAAATTTAGTCAAAATTTATAATGCCCTTAGTGATCACATGAAACAAAATTCTAAGTCAGCCACAATCTCCATTTAGATGGTCTTCAAGCAGTGTGCCTTACAATATATGCAATATGCCATGGAAAAGTGTACGTCAGTGAAACCCCTGTAATATACAGTAACTCACGAGTCTTTATGGCAGTAACACACATACACCAGGAATAAAACATGGTAGCATCAGTGATATGGGAGCAGAATCACATTAATATTTCCCTTTCAATATGTCTCAAATAATGTCAATAAAAAATAGACAACACTGTAAGTATATTATGGAAACATCGCTTCTTTTAATATATTTATAAATACTAAAAATTACTTATGTTTGGGGGAGAAACCAAGATGGTGACATAGGTAAACAAAGGAAATTGCTGCCTCGCACAACCACTTCATAAATACAACTAAAAGACAAAAATGGAGATCATCCAGGAAGGCTGGCTGAGTGGAAATTCTACAACTAGAAGGAAAGAGAAAACCACAATGAGACTAAGGAGGTGCAGAAGTAAAGTGCAGAGGTACACAGGCCTGGGCAAAAGGGTTGGCAACAGAGGACGCCGGTGTCTTTTTCAATTGGGAAGGAGTCTCAAGCTCCCCACGGCTCTGAACTCCAGTTCCCGGGGAGTCCCTGGGAACCCAGACTCATATGGGGAAACACTGGACTGTATGGCAGTGGGTGGAGCTCGATGGTGGCTTTCTCTCAGAGGTGCTTGCATCGCTTACAGCGGGACACTGAGACCTGGGCTTCTCCGAGCGGGGCTGAGGACCAGCCATAGCTGTTTGCTCCACCCTGTTGATTCCCTGAGACTCCCGCCCCACCCAAGCTTTGGGCAGAGGCTTTTGCATATGAATGGGCTGGCCCTTTGAGATCTAAAATTACCTAACAAACTGAAGCTGGGCCAGAGAGACCCAGAGCATCCAAAAGAAGGCCCAAGGCCCCACAGCAGCTTGCATTGCTTCACAGCTGGGCCTCATCTGGGCACCTCCAAAGCCCAAACATTTTAGCTGATTCTCACAGCCAATTGGCCTGGAGGTCAATTCCTCCGAGTGATACCAACAAGAATCAAGGCTAAACTACAAGACACAAAGCCCACAAAGGGGTGCACCAAGAGTGTCCACCTCAGATAATTGGGGAGGCTGAGCCACTGGGCCCTATAGGACACTTAGCACAGAAAGCCACTCTATCAACACAGGGAAGCATAAAAAAATGTGGAGACAAAGAAACAGATCAAAAATAACAGAAATGGAGGAAAGTAAACTATTGAATATAGAGTTCAAAACCACGGTTATAAGGTTTTTCAAGAATTTTCCAGAAACCGCTGATAAATTTAGTGAGACCCTCGAGGATATGAACAAGGACCAACTAGAAATGAAGCATACACTGACTGAAATAAAGAATAATATACAGAGATGCAACAGCAGACAAGAGGATCCCAAGAATCAAGTCAAAGATTTGAAATACAAAGAAGCAAAAAATTCCCAACAGGAAACGCAAAAAGAAAAAGAATCCAAATATATGAAGATAGTGTAAGGAGCCTCTGGGACAATTTCAAGTGTACCAACATCCGAATTATAGGGGTGCCAGGAGAAGAGAGAGAGTGCAAGATGTTGAAAACCTATTTGAAGAAATAATGACAGAAAACTTCCCCTGCCTGGTGAAAGAAATTGAGTTACAAGTCCAGGAAGCGCAGAGAACCCCAAACAATAGGAACCCAAACAGGACCACACCAAGACATATCATAATTAAAATGCCAAGGGCAAACGACAAAGAGAGAATCTTAAAAGCAGCAAGAGAAAAACAGTCAGTTACCTATAAGGGAGTACCCATACGATTGTCAGCTGATTTCTCAATAGAAACTATGCAGGCCAGAAGGGAGTGGCAAGAAATATTCAAAGTCATGAATAGCAAGAACCTACAACCAAGATGACTTTACCCAGCAAAGCTATCATTCAGAATTGAAGGTCAGATAAAGAGCTTCACAGATAAGAAAAAGCTAAAGGAGTTCATCGCCACCAAACCAGTAATATATGAAATGCTGAAAGGTATTCTTTAAGAAGAGGAAGAAGAAGAAAAAGGTAGAGATAAAAATTATAAACAACAATTACGTATCTTTCAACAAGTGAATCTAAAAATCAAGTGAATAAAAAATCTGATGAACAGAGTAAACTGGTGAATATAATAGAATCAGGGGCATAGAAAGGGAGTAGACTGACAATTCTCAGGGGGGAAATGCATGTGGGGGTGTGGGAAGAGACTGGACAAAAATTGTACACCTATGGATGAGGACAGTGGAGGGGGGTAAGGGCAGAGGGTGGGGTGGGAACTGGGTGGAGGGGAGCTACGGGGGGAAAAAAGAAGAACAACTGTAATAATCTGAACAATAAAGATTTATTTTTTAAAAATTGCTTGTGTTCATTTAAACATTAGATTATTGTCTAGAAGTATTCTGATTTAGAGTAATACCGGAAAAGTATTGACTATTCATTTAGTATGAATTCTGTGATAGTTTAAAAATTCAATTTCAAATACAGACTTTGGAAAATATTTTAGGCTCTTGAAAAGCATACTTTTTAAACAAAAGTCTTTCCTCCTATATCATGAACGTAGAATTAAGTCCAAATTGCAATCCCTGATATTGACTGAGACTGCAGGTCCAACTATAGGATTTCCCAAATCTTTGGCTTTAGGGTTTCCCTTTGCTAGAAATTTCAATGTGAGGAATAAATTATGAATGTGGAATAAAGACTTCTGGACACTGTTTATATTTTCAATGTTTCTCCCAAGTATGAATTCTGATCTCAAATATGGTTCACGTACCAAGTGAAAGTTTGCCAAATTCTTTTGTTTTAAAAATATATTTTATCGATTTTTTTACAGAGGGGAAGGGAGAGGGCTAGAAAGTTAGAAACATCAATGAGAAAGAAACATTGATGAGCTGCCTCCTGCACACTCCCCACTGGGGATGTGCCCACAAGCAGGGTACATACCCTTGACCGGAACCGAACCCAAGACCCTTCAGTCTGCAGGGCAACACTGTATCCACTGAGCCAAACCCCTTAAAGCGTACATTCTTTATATTTGCTGGGTTTCACTCCAGCAATTATCAGATGTTGAATAACATATAAATGAGAATATATACTTTGGCACCTTTTTTACAAGTTATAAAGCATAATTTGATCACACTCAATGAAATTGGAACATTGGTTAAATCTTTGGGCAAATTCTTTATATTTTTACTGTTTCTATTTAGAATGATTCCTTCCAATTACTAGTAAGTTTGAGTACAGGTTAAAAGATTTGCCACATTCTGCTTTGGTAACGTTTCACTCCATTATTTTTTTTTAATATATTTTATTGATTTTTTACAGAGAGGAAAGGAGAGAGATAGTTAGAAACATCGAGGGGAGAGAAACATCGATCAGCCGCCTCCTGCACATCTCCTACTGGGGATGTGTCCGCAACCCAGGTACATGCCCCTGACCGGAACCGAACCTGGGACCTTTCAGTCTGCAGGCCGACGCTCTATCCACCGAGCCCAACCGGTTTTGGCAAACTCCATTATTTTTTGTTCAGTGAGACATCAGTCCTGATTAAAGGCTTTGCAAACTCATTATACTTATAGGTCTTCTCTCCAGTACAAATTGTATCATGTTCAGAAAGACACCAATGGTAATTTAAAAATGTGCCTAATTCTTCATATTTGTAAGGCTTCTCTTCACAATGAATTATCTGATGTTCAATAAGATCACACTGACAAGGAAGGATTTGTCACACTCCTTACATCTGTAAGGTTTCTCTCCACTATAAAGTCTCTCATGTACAGTAAATCACAAATATCTTTAAAGGCTTGTCCACATTTTTCAAATTCATAAGGCTTCATCCCAGTATGATTTCTATGGTGCTAAGTTCTCACTGCTGGTAAAGAACTAATGGCACTCCTTGTAACTGTAAGGCTTGTCTCAAGTATATACACTTTGCTGTACACTAGGGCAAGAACACTGGTTAAAGGCTTTGCCACATTCTTTACATTTCAAAAGGCTTCTCTATATTATGAATTCTCTGATGATAAATAAGAGCTGAGGACCTACTATAAGCTTTGCCACATTCTCTACATTTATAGGGTTTCTCTCCAGTATGAACTCTCTGATGATAAGTAAGGGATGAGGAGCTGGTAAAGGCTTTGCCACACTCTCTACATTTATAGGGCTTCTCTCCAGTGTGAACTCTCTGATGAAAAGTAAGTGTTGATGCCGCACTGAAGGCCTTGCCACATTCTCCACATTTCTAGGGCTTCTCCCCAGTGTGCACTCTCTGATGATAAGCAAAGCTTGATGCCGCACTGAAGGCTTTGCCACATTCTCTACATTGATAGGGCTTCTCTCCAGTGTGAACTCTCTGATGAAAAGTAAGTGTTGATGCCGCACTGAAGGCCTTGCCACATTCTCCACATTTATAGGGCTTCTCCCCAGTGTGCACTCTCTGATGATAAGCAAAGCTTGATGTTGCACTGAAGGCTTTGCCACATTCTCCACATTGATAGGGCTTCTCTCCAGTGTGCACTCTCTGATGATAAGCAAAGCTTGATGTTGCACTGAAGGCTTTGCCACATTCTCCACATTGATAGGGCTTCTCTCCAGTGTGCACTCTCTGATGATAAGCAAAGCTTGATGCCGCACTGAAGGCTTTGCCACATTCTTTACATTTATAAGGTCTCTCTCCAGTATGAACTCTCTGATGTTGATTGAGGATTGAGGGTTCAGTGAAGGCTTTGCCACATTCTCGACATTTATAAGGCTTCTCTCTGGTATGAACACTCTGATGACGACGACACTTTGAGGACCTCTTGAAGCCTTTGCCACACTCTCCACATTTATATGGTTTCTCTGCAGTATGAGTTATCTGATGGCCAGAAAGGGTTGTGGAGCTCCTGAAGGCTTTGCCACATTCTCTACATTTATAAGGCTTCTCTCCGGTATGAATTCTCTTATGATAAATAAAGGCTGAGGACCGGTTGAAGGCTTTGCCACATTCTCTACATTTATAAGGCCTCTCTCCAGTATGAATTCTCTCATGTTCACGAATATTTGAAAGGAAATTAAATGTTTTGCCACATTCTTTACATTTATAATGTTTTTCTCCAGTACAGATTTTCTGAAGTTTATTTAGATTGAGTATTTGACTGAAGAATCTCGTACACGGATTAAATTTGTAAGCTTTCTCTCTGGTGTGAATATTATCTTGTTCAGTATGATTTGAAAATTGTTTCCAAGGTTTCTCACATTTTCTTCCTTTGTTTGTTTTTGCCACAGTATGAATAAACTGAAGTATACTTTGATTTGACATTTGGTCAAAGACTTTCCCACCATTATAATGGTTCTCTGGAAGCTGAATTTTCTGGTTTATAATAGAATTTGACCCTTGTTTAAAATTTTTCCAATGTTCCTTGCATTGGTAACTTCTGACTTCATTGCATATATTCTGGTAATCATTGAAGATGGAAAGGGCTTTAGTGACAGCTATAATTTCATTAAACAGGTACTCTTTAAAATAACTATTCTGTGGTAACTATTAAAACATGATGTATAAAAAAAAACAACAACACTACTTCCATGCTGGTGTGACTCAGGGGATGAGCAACAAACCATGAACCAGGAGGTCACCGTTTGATTTCTGGTCAGGGTACATGCCTGAGCTGTGGTCTTGATCCCCAGTGGGGAGTGTGCAACAGGCAACCAGGCAGTCAATGATTCTCTCTCATCAGTGATATTTCTCTCTTCTCCCTTCCTCTGTTAAATCGATAAAGACATATTTAAATAAAGATTCCTAAATTTATATAACTTATAGGCATTTGTATGAAAAACATTTCTCAATGGAAGTATAATGATACCTTAATACAGAAGTCAACAAATTAATTGAATTTAAATTTTCTATGTGTATAAATCACTATATCCTAGAAATGATTGAAAATTTAAACCCATACTACACTGTAATAATTCTTATATTTACAGCATAGTTTATTAAATTCATAGATTTTCAGTATTTTCATTCAAAGAATGTATAATATTAAAAACATTATATTTGGTCTTCACATTTAGAAACACATTAATTTACAAATATAACTAATTTAAATTGGGAGTATTGTCATATGTGTAATACCTTTTGACCTCATTAATTGACAATGATTTTATTATGAATAACTGCACCAGGTTACTTCTATCAACGTTAAAATAATTTTTTCTCATCTTACACTCCTCCTCAAATTCCAAGGCTTTCACTAAATGTACATTATCAAAGCCATACCTTCCATATCTTACCAGTATTATTTTAGGGAATAAATCTCCTATTTTTGGCTTTTGCAAAAAGGCCTGGTTGTCTTCGGATAAGATAGCTGAAAGATATGAAATAAAGTTTCACAGTTAGGACACTCTGGGGAATGAATACACACTGAATTTACCAACAATTACTCACCAAATTACATGTCTGAGTACTCCAAAACTAAGTTAAATGTACAAAGCAAGACCAAGACAGGCAGAATAAGGAAAAGTCACATCAAATAAGGGGAGACTAACAAATTGCATTAGTAACCACGGTCATGAGAAAGCTCAGAAAGAAAATAAAAAATCTCTAGAGAGCAAGCTGTAGCACGTGGAAATATGTGATAGAAATGACACAGATTCAGTATTACAGTTCTGAGAATACTCAATAAGATGCAATAAAATACCAGCAATTCAATGCACTCAGAAAACAAATTAATGAACGAGTACTTTACCAAATAGACTGAAACTTTCAAAAAGAACCAATCAGAATGCTTTGAAACAAAGAATGCAATTTAGGTCAGTAGGGGTGATTTACTGAGACTAGGAAACAGAGCTGAACAGATGGAGCAAAGAAAGAAGAGACCTGAGCATGAAAAGAAAGGGCTCTATGAGCACAATCGGACTCCATCAGAAAAGGCTCATATATAAGAATTACAGGCATACTAAGAGGAAGAAGAGAGGAAGAAGGGAACTAAAAGCCTATTCAAACAAATAGTGAGAACTTCACAAACCTATGTAAAGAACTAGGTTCTCAAATTCAAGAAGGAAATGGAACACCTACTCAACTCAATCCAAAGAGGCCCTCTCCAAGGTGCATTGTATTAAAACTGTCAAAAATTAATGACCAAAAAAAAAAAAAAATTCTCAAAGCACCCAGCGAAAAGGAAGTAATCTACAAAGGAAAACCCATCAGAATATCATCCGACTTCTCAGCAGAAACTCTACAAGACAGAAGAAAGTAGAACCAAGTATTCAAATGACTAAAAAAGAGAAATTACCATGCCAGAATAAAACACCCAGCAGTAACTTCCTTTAAAGATGACAGAGAAAGACATTCCCATGCATACACAAGCTAAAGGATTTAATCACAGAAAACCTCGATTGCAAAAAATACTCAAGGGAGTTGTTCTACCCAAGGCAAACAGCATAAGGTCACAACAATACTAGTAAGATCTAATGGTGCTGTACAATTTCAATTAAATTAATAGACTTCTTTTTGGTTACAAAATTTTGGAACATATCACATTATAAAATTTATATCTCATCACCTCCAAGACATTGTTTATTCCAGGGATGACACATAGTTACAAGTATCACATCTACCTTCTTAAATATAAAAGGAACTTAATGTAATACACTTTAAATTTTTGAAAGCCAAATTCTTAAGTTTGTTTTTTAATTGATTCTATTAAAACTGAAACTCCCAATTTATCAACTGAAACATTAAGGAGGAAAACATTTATGTCCAACATGAAAAAAAACAGAAGCCACAGGTGGAGAAAAAATTTTGGTAAAAGACAACGTGTACAAAACTCTTAGGCAAGACATATAAAGAAGTCTTCCAATTCGCCGTGGCCACGTGTGGCTCACTTGGTTGGGCATCAGTCATTCACCAAACGTTACTAATTCGATTCCCAGTCAGGGCATGTGCCCGGTTTGTGAGCTTGATCCCCTTGGGGGTTGTGCCAGAGGCAGCCAGTTGATGTGTCCCCCTCATGAATGTTTCTATCACTCTCTCCCTCTAGCTTCCTGTCTCTAAAATCAATAAAAAAACATATTAAAAAGATCCTTCGCATCTTATGTCACTAAGGAAATGCACATTAACACAATGAGAGGTAACAAACAGCACAGTCAAACAACACTAAACCGCCACTGAACAGGTCAGAATCCAGAACACTGACCCCTCCAAATGCTTTTGTGGATCTGGAGCAACTAGAATGTCCATTTATTGCTGGTGAAAATGTCAAATACTATAGTCACTTGGGAAGATAGTTTGGAAGTGTTTACAGAACTAAACATACACATACCATATGAGGCATTAATTGTGCTCCTTAGTATTTATTCACACAGGTAAACATATTACAGTAAGTTCTTGGGTTACGTCAGAGATCCGTTCCTACAGCAAGACGTAACGAGATTTTCGTCATAAGTCAGAACCCACCGACATAAGCACCTACATCACTCACATGGAGCAAATACACAGTAGTAATGAAGTAAAATAGTAACAAAAAATAAAAAATTAATAGAAAGATAACAATTCCTTACCTTTACTTGGGGTAAATAAATGGTAAAAAACATAGAGCACAGCCCTAGCTGGTTTGGCTCAGTGGATACAGCATCGGCCTGGGAACTGAAAGGTCCCAGGTTTGATTCTGGTCAAGGGCACATGCCCGGGTTACGTGCTCCATCCCCACTGGGGGGCTTGCAGGAGGCAACCGGTCGGTGATTCTCTCTCATCATTGACGTTCCTGTCTCTCTCTCCCTCTTCCTTTCTCACTGAAATCAATAAAAGTATTATTTTTAAAAAACTGAAACATAAAGCACATACGTATGTACATACGTCGAAATGACGAAACTTCATTTTTTAATTAAATCTTTATTGTTTAGATTATTACAGTTGTTCCTCCCCCCCCCCATAGCTCCCCACGACCCAGTTCCCACCCCACCATCGGCCCTTATCCCTGCACACCCTGTCCTCATCCATAGGTGTACAATTTTTGTCGTTTCTTCCCACACCCCCAACACCCCTTCCCCCGACCCTGACAATAGTCAGTCCACTCCCTTTCTATGACCCTGATTCTATTATATTCACCAGTTTATTCTGTTCATCAGATTATTTATTCACTTGATTTTTAGATTCACTTTTCAATAGATGTGTATTTGTTGTTCATAATTTGTATCTTTACCTTTTTCTTCTTCCTCCTCTTCTTAAAGGATACCTTTCAGCATTTCATATAATACTGGTTTGGTGGTGATGAACTCCTTTAGCTTTTCCTTATCTGTGAAGCTCTTTATCTGACCTTCAATTCTGAATGATAGCTTTGCTGGATAAAGTAAACTTGGTTGTAGGTTCTTGGTATTCATCACTTTGAATATTTCTTGCCACTTCTTGCACTCTCTCTCTTCTCCTGGCACCCCTATAATTGGGACGTTGGTTCGCTTGAAGTTGTCCCAGAGGCTCTTTACACTATCTTCATACTTTTGGATTCTTTTTTCTTTTTGTTTTTCCTGTTGGGTGTTTTTTGCTTCTTCATATTTCAAATCTGTGACTTGATTCTTGCGATCCTCAAGTTTGCTGTTGGCCTCTGTAAAATATTCCTTATTTCAGTCAGTGTATGCTTCATTTCTAGTTGGTCCTTATGCATATCCTTGAGGGTCTTATTGGATTTCTTGAGGGACTTGCCGGGGTCCAGCCCCAGCAGGTCCAGGGGTCCCCAAAGGTGTGGACGGAGTCGGCAAAGAAGGAATGACATGGAGACAGCGTTCAGTTGATCAGCAGCCTTGCCAGGATCTGGGTATAGTAGCCACACTATTAAAAATGAATAATGCTTTTGGAATATTGATAAGGATGTGGTGAAATCTGAATTCAGAGTATTATGTACATACTTATATTAAATACTTCTTCAGATGCCTAATATTTACAAAGTAGATGAAATTTCTACATGAAAATTGATTTTTTAAATTAGAAGTTCTAATCCTATCAATCTCTATTCCAAAGGTTAGGGCGTTTCCTATCTCCATTCCAGGGAGTAAAGATTATGTACTTAAGCATGATTGTTCGTAGTTAAAGTGATTAATTACCCGCCTAGCAGTTAAGAGGTTTTATTCCCTTCCTAACTTCAGGGGAAAATCCCTACCTGGGGAAACAACCTTTCTCAGAGGTGACCTTGGTTAAAACATATAGTGCCAAGAAGGTGAGCAAACATATTAAGAACAGTATGCCATATATGCCAGGTCCCTTGAAAAAGCAAGGATGAACCGGCTCCCGGCAGGGTCTCACTAAATTTCTTGGCAGTTCCTAGAAAATTCTTGAAAACCTTGTATCTGTGCTTTTGAACTCTATATCTAGTAGTTTGCTTTCCTCCATTTCTGTCATTTCCGACCTGTTTCTTTGACTCCACATATTTTATGCTTCCCTGTGCTGATAGCGTGGCTTTCTGTGCTAGGTGTCCTATAGGGCCCGTGGCTCAGCCTCCCCAATTACCTGAGGTGGACACTCTTGGTGCACCCCTTTGTGGGCTTTGTGCACAGTCTTCTTGTAATTTAGCCTTGATAGTTGTAGGTATCACTAGGAGGAACTGACCTCCAGCCTAATTGGCTGTGAGAATCAGCTCTATGGTGGGAGAACTTCTGTGCTGGAGACACTCTTTTGGGGCAAGACTTGCTTCATTAGGGCTTTGGTGCTCACTGATTCTGCCCCCTGAGTGTGTCCCTTATGGAGCTGAGGAGTTGTAATCTGCATGGTCCCACTCTGACCACTGGGTAGACTGGCTCTTGGATCTCTAAGAAGGTGCTAATTTAGCCTCTGTCTGAGGCTTTAAGAGGTCCCTCGTCTCATTGTCCTGATAATCGTTGCAAGCACCTCTGAGAGAAAGCTGCCCTCGAGTTCCAACCCATGCCAGACAGTCCACTTTCTCCCCGTATGAGTCCGGTTCCCCAGAGACTCGCCTGGAACTGGAGTTCAGAGCAGTCGGGAGCTTGACTCCCTCCCGATTGAAAAAGACAAAGACAACCGTGTACTCAGTTGCCAGCCCTTTCCACGTGAGCCTCCATACCTCTGCACTTCACTTCCGCACTTCCTTTGAGTCTCAGTGTGCTTTTCTCTTTCCTTCTAGTTGTAGAATTTCCACTCAGCCAGCCTTCCTTGGTTCTGGATGATGTCCGTTTTGTCTTTTAGTTGTATCTTTGAAGTGGTTGTGCGAGGCAGCAAATTCCTTTGTTTACCTATGCCGCCATCTTGGTTTCTCCTAGCGGAACTTCTTTTTTTAATAAATAAATGGAAGATGGCAACGTAACCATGAAACGAAGTATGTCAAGTCCCAGGGCTATCTGTGTCTACACAAAAGCCTACAAGGTGCTCGTTATAGCATCTTCATAACTTCAAAAAAATGGAAGCAACAAAGGTGTGTGTCAACAAGTGAATGGATAATTAAACTGAGGTATATACAATAGAAAATTATTCAGCACTATAAATAGTACATCAAAACATGAAGAGATAGGATAGAAACTTAGATACATAGAATTAAGTGAAAGAATCCAATCTACCTGGTCAGGTAGCTGAATTTACCATGGATCACCCAAATATACCATGGATGGGGATTCGATCTTGGATAAGGGCACATACGAAAATCCATCATAAATAAGTGTATATATAAGTGGGACAACAAACTGATGTTTCCCTCTCTCAAAAAATCAATACAAAAAATAAAGAATCCAATTTGAAAAGGTGACATATTATAAGATAACTATGACATTTCAGAAAAGAAAATGAAGAACCGAGTAAACAAATCAATGGTTACTAGAGTATAGGGAAAATAGGGAAGAACAGGCAGAGTAGAGAGAATCATTAGATCCTAGAAGCTAATCTATATACTATCATTTTGGAAATGTGCCATCATAAATTTTTCCTCATCTCTACAGTGTACAAATCAGCAGTGAACCCTAAAGTGAACTACAACTTTGAGTGATAATAATGTGCCAATGTAGCTTCTAATACATAATCAATGTACCACTGGTAAAAAACAGAGAAGGGCCACGTTATGCAGGGAGCATGTGGGAATTGTCATTACCTCTACACCATTTTGCTGTGCATCTAAAAGTGATCTTTATTTTGTTTTGAAAATATATTTTTATTGATTCCAGAGATGAAAAGATGGAAACATCAATGATGAAAGAGAATAATCGATTGGCTACCTCCTGTATGCCCCACACTGAGGATCTGGCCCACAACACTGCATGTGCCCCAACCAGGAATCAAACTGTAACGTCCTCATTCATAAGGTCGAACTCAACCACTGCGCCACATGGGCCTGGCTAAAAGTGCTCCTCGATCACAGACTTTTTCTTTAAAGTATCTGATCTCAGGTCCGGGAAGCTTTCTTACCGTTTTTTGCTATTGTTGTTCTTGTAATCCTTACCCAAGGATGATTTTCCATTGATTTTTTATGTTTACATATTTTTACATATAGTTTTATTGACTTCAGAGAGGAAGGCAGAGGGAGAGAGGGATAGAAACATCAATGATTACAGTGGTCATTGACTGGCTGCCTCCTACATGCCCCACTCTGGGGATCAAGCCCACAACCTGGGCATGTGCCGAGACTGGGAATTGAACCATGACCTCCTGGTTCATGGGTTGATGCTTAACCACTGAGCTATGCCAGCCAGGTTCCACTGATTTTTAAAGAACGTGGAATGGAGGGACAGAAAGGGGAGAGTGAGAGAGAAAGAAACTGATTACTAGCCCTCCACACATGCCCCAATGGGGTAGGGATTGAACCCATGACCCTTTGGTGCTTGGGCAGATGTCCTAACCACTGAACCACACCAACCAGCATTTTCCTATCATTTTTTCATGCACATATAACAAATAAACATTTGTAACCTACATAAAAAACAACAATTCAAGATGTCACTTCAGAAGAATAAGGATGACCAGGATCAAAGAAACAAAGTATAGGGGTTGGGGGTGGCCGGGGAGAAGTCAATGTTGGGAAAAGGAGACATATGGAATACTATATATAATACTTTAAAAGATAATTTTAAAAAAAGAAACAAAGTATATCAAGTGTTTTATAAACTGTTCAGAAAATGGACCCTATACATGGCTGAATGAAACATCAATTGGTGCCAACAGTATGAAAAACACAGTAGCATTTGTCAAAAAATTACAAACAGAATAATCCCATGATGCAGCCATCCCATTTCTAGGTATTTATAAAAAAAGAACATTTACAGGAGAAATGATAAGAGACATTTGCGCATCTGTGTCCATTCTAATGTAATTCACAAAAGCCAGTGATAGGTGGAAACTACTCAAAGGTTCATGCATAGTTGACTTAATGAAGAAAGTTTACTATATACGTACAATGGGAGATGATTCTGCCATGAAACAAAAGTAGATATCATCAACTGATATACAGAGAGAAACTTTGAGGGCATTTTTTAAGTGAAGCACACAAGTGACAAAGAGAAAGAAACCGTAGGATTTCCCTTAAGTGAGTAATCTAATGTCCTTCACCTCAAAAAAAGGGGGGGTGGGGGAGTTACGGGCCTTGCTTTTAAAACAAATGAGGAAGTAGTTTTTTAATGCATATTGAGACATTTCTGCAAGATGAATGTTTTGAGACATCAAATGCACAAGGCGAGATACTGAATACCACTGGACTGTACAGCCACAGATGATAAAGATGGTAGATTTTTAATCCTGTTATTGTGTTTTTAAAAATCTTTATTGATTTTTTTTTAAATATATTTTATTGATTTTTTTACAGAGAGGAAGGAAGAGGGGTAGAGAGTTAGAAAAAGCAATGAGAGAGAAACATCCATCAGCTGCCTCCCACACACCTCCCACTGGGGATGTGCCCGCAACCAAGGTACATGCCCTTGACCGGAATCGAACCTGGGACCCTTCAGTCCGCAGGCCGACACTCTATCCACTGAGCAAAACCGGTTACGGTTCTTTATTGGTTTTTATAGAGAGGAAGGGAGAGCAAGAAACATCAATGTGAAAGAAAACCATTGATCCTCTGCCTCCTACATACACAGCAACCACGACTGAGCCCACACCGAGGTACCCTGAACAGGAATTGAACCGGTGACCTTTCAGTGTAGGAGACAACGATATAACCAACTGAACCACACAGGCCAGCTCTATTCATGTTTTTTACCAAAATTGAAAATAAAAAATAAGATCTAAAAGAGACAGAATTAGAAAACTAATGGAGAACATAGAGTTCAAAACCACAGTTATAAGGCTATTCAAGAAACTTCAACGAACCTCCGAGGAACTTAGTGAGACTTCGAGGATCTTAATGAGAATGCCAAAAAAATGGAAAAGGACCAGTCAGAAATTAAACATACACTGACTGAAATTAAAAATAATATACAGAGATCCAACAGCAGACTAGAGGATCCCAAGAATCAAGTCAAAGATTTGAAATACGAAGAAGCAAAAAAACACCCATACGGAAAAGCAAAACGAAAAAAGAATCCAAAAATATGAACATAGTGTAAGGAGCCTTTGGGACAACTTCAAACGTACCAACATCTGAATTATCGGGTGCTGGAAGAAGAGAGAGAGCAAGATACTGAAAGCCTATTAGAAGAAATCATGACAGAAAACTTCCCCTACCTGATGAAAGAAATAGACTTACAAGTCCAGGAAGCAAAGAGAACCCCAAATAAGAAGAATCCAGAGGACCACACCAATACACATCTTAAGTAAAATGCCAAGGGCAAAAGACAAAGAGAGAATCTTAAAAGAAGCAAGAGAAAAACAGTTAGCTACCTACAAGGGAATACCCATACAACTGTCAGCTGATTTCTCAACAGAAACCATGCAGGCCAGAAGGGAGTGGCAAGAAATATTCAAAGTGATGAATAGCAAGAACCTACAACCAAGATTACTCAACCCAGCAAAGCTATCATGTAGAATTGAAGGTCAGATAAAGAGCTTTACAGACAAGAAAAAGCTGGATTATATGAAATGCTGAAGGATAGTCTTTGAAAAGAGGAAGAAAAAGGTAAAGTTAAAAATTATGAACAACAAAGTGACAACAAATAAATATCTATCAACAAGTGAACCTAAAAGTTAAGTCAGAATAAACTGGTGAATATAATAGAAGCAGGGGCATAGAAAGGGAGTGGACTGACAATTCTTGCGGGGGAAGGAGGTGTGGGGGGTGCAGGAAGAGACTGGACAAAAATCTTACATCTATGGATGAGGACAGTGGTGGGGGGTAAGGGCATGGGGTGGGGTGGGAACCAGGTGAAAGGGAGCTATCGGGGAAAAAAAGAGGAATATCTGTAATAATCTGAACAATAAAGATTTATTAATTTAAAAAAATAGAAGACATGGTAGAATATTTGAATATTCTAGAAAAATATTCCCTAAAATACTGTTTTCTGACTGAACCTTGTTTAGTCAAGACAACAAGTAAAATTTTCAAACACTGAGTTCCTCATTCACATACATAACAAAGCCAATCCTTTCTAAACCAGAAAACGTCCATTTGTTTCCTAAGAGCATGAATCAGAAAGTCTACCCTATAAAGCAGAAGCCTCCTAGAGATGTTAACATAATAAAGGAAACAAAACCCTCAGAGTGGAAGAGGAACTCAGGAAGGAAGTCATCCTCACCCAGGGAGATCAGGTTGCTGTAGTTCTCCGACATCACATCCAGGTACAATTTCCGCTGAGCTGGGTCCAGGCATTCCCACTCCTCCTGAGAGAAATCTATGGCCACATCCCTGAAGGTCAATGGTCCCTGAAAGGAAAGACAAGTTTATCAAGCGGTCACCAGAAGAGTTCATAATGTCAGCCAACATGAAAACAGTGTTAGGAGGCCTAACCAGTTTGGCTCAGTGGATAGAGCGTTGGCCTGCGGACTGAAGGGTCCCGGGTTTGATTCCGGTCAAGGGCATGTACCTTGGTTGCGGGCACATCCCCAGTTGGGGGTGTGCAGGAGGCAGCTGGTCAATGTTTCTCTCTCATCGATGTTTCTAACTCTCTATCCCTCTCCCTTCCTCTCTGTAAAAAAAAATCAATAAAATATATTTTTAAAAAAACAGTGTTAGGAGACAAAAAAAAAATATGAAGGAAAAAAAAGAAACAAACAAAAAAGAAAACCGTGTGAGGAAAATAGGTTTTGACCAAGGGGAATATCCGGAATCACCCAGTAAATCACTTTGCCCAGTAACATTCTCTGGTATGTTTTTAAACACTAACAAATGAGGATGACACCTGTCCCAAAATCCACGGTACAGATTTTACTTTTCAGGAAAATAAACTTTTTTTAAAAAAATATAGTTTATTGACTTTTTTACAGAGAGGAAGGGAGAGGGATAGAGAGAAACATCGATGAGAGAGAAACATAGATCAGCTGCCTCCTGCACACTCCCCACTGGGGATGTGCCCGCAACCAAGGTACATGCCCTTGACCAGAATCGAACCTGGGACCCTTGAGTCCGTAGGCCAATGCTCTATCCACTGAGCCAAACCGGTTAGGGTGGAAAATAAACTTTAAAATTAGGGCATCAACAGGGGAATATGGGTTTCTGAGGGCTATGTTTGCATTGTTCAGGGTCCGTGGTGTGTATTTCTCAGCTGGAGATGCCATGCTCAGTTGGAAGCATAATTACGGCCTGAAGTGTAACACAGTCAACCACGACTGCACTTTTCTAAAAATACAGATTCTGGCCGAAACCGGTGTGGCTCAGTGGAAAGAGCTTCGGCCTGCGGACTGAAAGGTCCCAGGTTCGATTCCGGTCAAGGGCATGTACCTGGGTTGCGGGCACATCCCAGTGGGAGATGTGCAGGAGGCAGCTGATCGATGTATCTCTCTCATCGATGTTTCTAACTCTCTATCTCTCGCCCTTCCTCTCTGTGAAAAATCAATAAAATATATTTTAAAAAATAAAAATAAAAAATAAATAAATAAAAATAAAAATACAGATTCTGATCCAGGTTCTCAGATGGGGCCTGTGTTTCCATATGTGTAACAAGCTCACTTTACACTCGTGATGCCAATGTTTCTGGTCCATTTGACATACTTCTGAATAAACAGAAGAGAAAACACAGGAAAAAATTCCTACATAACTTTTAAGTGAAAGTATTTGTTAATGGAACTTATAGTTTTTATGGAATAGGACACATAGGAACCACAATCCTATTTGAAATTTTACTATGAGTATTCTTAGAACAAAATTATTTTCTCTTTGATAGAATATTTTGTGAAACATATTAATTAAAGTTACTAGTAAACCTTCAATTTTATTCCAAACTCGATCTACAATTACAAAAGAAACAAACTCAGGTAGATACCCATAAAGAAAATTCATGAATATTCACAGCAGTTTCTGTAACTGAAGAAGAATAAACACAGGTTAAGCAAGTAAGAAAATATAGCTCAAACGATGCTAACATTTTATGTAGACACACACTTATGAGAAGTTACCTACAATTTAAAATGGATAGAAAAAAGAATTATCATGTCAATGAAGTCACGGTTATTTTGTGATTGCATAAATTTCATGAACATCCTTGTGAATGATACCCTTTCTGTATTATAAACACAATAAGGAGATGAACTCACATAATCATAGAAAATATGTTGGACCTATTGTTTCTGAGTTGCTAATTTATTTGGAAATTTTTAAATGTCATTAGTGGAGATCTACAATCACAGAAATTTAACTTAATTGGAAATACATTAATAATATGATTCTTGTAAACTTTCTGGAAAATATAAAAAGTGATTATGTCAAGTATGTCCACGAATGAGTGTAGGATATAAAAAAAATTTACAGCAAGAAGGCCTGATTGGTTGAAGCTCCCATGTCAAAAGACAGTGATATGTAGGAAATAAAAGTAGGGCTTTTATTTTTTAAAGTAAATAGAAGCTAAGACGAAGAGAGGGGCTTCTGGATGGTCTGTGCACATCTCTCAATAAATTCTACGATTAGGGGAGCATCTCAGCCAAGGGAATATCAGGTGAACTGGAACAATGGATATCAAGTGACTGAGGCACAGGAAAGGAAATGTCATAGGAAAAAAACATAAATCAGCAAGTCATTATGTGAAAATGGTCATAAATGAACATTAATTTTTGCAAGTGTCAATCCAGTGTACCTCTCATGTTCTGTAAAGATTTAAATAGCAAGTCTTTCTTACTAATCTAGTGAGCAAGTCTCTTCACTTTACTCTTCTTTTCAGAACTTGCTGACCTATTCTGAGCAGTAAGATGTGCTTTTCCTTAGGCTTATTCTAGAGCTGATGCTGCAGCCACCTGAACCTAAAAGTTATATTTCCCTTCTTCACCGATACCCGAGCCTCTGGCCCCATCCCGGTAGGGATGTTAGACATGGCTCCCTTCCAAGGTTGACCTGACAGAGAAGGATGTTTCCAGTAGTTGAAAGTCATCAATTAAAGGTGGGAAATCTTCTTGACCTGGTGGAACCTGCATAACATGAATGCAGAGAAGGCTCTGGGCAAAAGGAAAAAACTATATACACTGCTGACCTTGACTATCACAAGAAAACTGGTAATTAAATAAGTAAAGGAAAAGAGCATGAATACCACCAACATCAGAAGTGGCAGGTCCTAAATCCACAGATGTCAGAGGAGAAGGAAACACAGCCTGTGACCGAGGACACATCTTTTACCTGAGAAGCAGCCATTTGGTCCTGGTCCTGGTCCTGATGAGGGTCTGGGTTCTTTTCTCAGGTCAGGATATGTTGAGGAGTCAGAGACTGTGCCTTCAAAGACGTCAGCTCAGCGTCTCAATCAGCTCACATGACACTCACAGTCAGAAGGACGCGGAAATGCAGAAAAGGCCACCCCTCCTGTCCTTGGTCACAGGAGAGAGTGAGGAACACTGAGCTCCTACATGGCGACCACACTGTGAGTTTTCAAGTGTGTGTCTTCATGTGTCTCTCCTCCCAAAGACACACACCAACTCCTGCAGAAATGAGAGCGTGAGCTGTAGCTAAGATTTGGAAACAGCCCAAGTGCCCATCAGCAGGTGAGTGGATTAGAAAACTGTGGTACATCTACAGAATGGAATACTACGCTGCTATAAAAAAGAAGGAACTTTTGCCCTGACTGGTTTGGCTCACTGGATAGTGCGTCGGCCTGTGGACTGAAAGGTCCCAGGTTCAATTCAGGTCAAGGGCATTTACCTTGGTTGCGGGCACATCCCGAGTAGGAGGTGTACAGGAGGCAGCTGATGGATGTTTCTCTCTCATCGATGTTTCCAAGTCTCTACCTCTCTCCCTTCCTCTTTGTAAAAAATCAATAAAATATATTTAAAAGAGAAAAAGGATCAGATGGTGACAGATTCAGATCACCTCCTCCTTTCAATCCCAGGAAATGACAAGGAAACCATGAACAACACCCAAGTCTCTCCCCTCTGAGTGAATAAGGGCTGTAATTGGAAGCAAAATATTATAAAATTCCAAAGCCGTATAAACTAGAGATTTAAAATTCTCATTGAAATCTGAATAACTAAGACAATTCAGTGGTTAAATTAAATATATAATTAGGGGGCATGACTAAGTGGTTGAGATTGGACCTATTAACCAGGAGATCATGGTTAGATTCCTAGTCAGGGCATGTGGCCAGGTTGCAGGTTTGATCCCTACTGTGGGTCGAGCAGGAGGCAGCTGATGAATGATTGTCTTTCCTCATTGATGTTTCTAACTCTCCCTCTCCCTGCCTCCTGGAGATGAACAGCCGAGAGAACTTGGCTTTATAAAAATATCTTGGCTTTACTCATCCCTTTATTACTCAGAACTAGTAGCCCAGTGCACATATATATATATGTATATATCTCCGCAGCTTATATCACAACTTAACCGTCCACCACCCATCAGCTCACCCCTCACCCAGATCAGGATTCCCTCCTCCCATTACGATGTATTTCTGTCTGAGGATCTGTCTCCTGTTCCCTTTCTCTCCACTGTGGTCCTTTCCTGTGTCCCCCTCCCCTGCTCTTTCTCCCCTTTTCTCTCTGTCTGTCCTACACCTGGACCATGAAACTCCTGAAACCTACTTCCCTTCAGGGGCTCTTTCTCCTGGTCTCTGAGGCTCCATCTCCAAAC